GGCATGTATATGCTGATAAAAAAGAGAGATAACAAGGAATGGACTACGTGGACATTTTGGTAGGGCCTGAAAAATCTCTGCCAAACTAAAGAATTGGCTATTCTGTGAGCAACGTCGTTTATGCTATATATTATTTATTATTATGTATGGGCTATAAAATTATCACAAAAAACTTAGCAAGAAGTTGGGTATGCACGAAAAAAATGAATACAATCAGTGTGGCACACAGACTTAATTGCCACAATGGAAGGAATAGTAAATTGTAATTCGCTTACGGATCATCTCGACTGACCAAGGAAGCACCCTAAACAGAAGCATAACACCTAAACACCTACATACAAGTTTCTCAATCTCTCCAGATTCATACTTACAAGATAATCCCGGTTTTACAGGCTTTCTAACTCAAAATCACAGTGCCTTTATTTAAACGGTCTGAGTAAGTACAGGACCCACCTCTGCTTTGGCCGCATTCCAGTTGACAATTGAGCCAAACGCAATGTATATCGTTCCTTTTGATTTGGAATCCTCCACAAAACTTCTCAAGCCCGATGGAAGCTCGTTAGATTCTGAAAAATTCATGTTGTTTTCAAGCTTCATTTCTGAGGAGGAAGGAAGAAAATCGTAAGAAACCTTGACAGTATTCGCCAACGTGAATCAAGTCAGTCCCCGTCGAACAGACGTAACCGTAGCGCGCAGGGAAGTCGGTTAAGGAGACACGAGAAGCCTTAAAATCACCTTGATTAATAACTTTCAATCTATTGGCCCACTGTCTTCTTTGACCATGAAACTAAGGAAACTCTATCCTCTAGCAGCAAATCGAACCTCGAAAATAGTCTCGTAGGTACTGTGGACGTTGAGCAGCTCTCCAGCTTTCCTGAGCCATCGATTGGATGCGACTTCGATGTAATACTGAAATAATGTATTGTAAGTCAGCTACACTTTCCGGTAGCTGCTACAACAACCTGCTCGAATATTGCATCCCTTATAGAGTACAGTCGTGGAAAGAAGTTCAACACATCGTAGGTCATCATATGGTAGCCTTTTGTGTAGTAACTGAATTCATAGAATCGGAAATATGTTTCTTGTCAAGTAGCGAGCTAAATTAGCATCATGTGAGAAGAATCCGACGAAATGCGAGCGGTCGCGATGTGGCGATGGGGATTGTTAACGTGGTAACTCAATTAAGTAT